GCTGGCCAAGGTGGGCGCTATGGAAGGCGATATTTACGAGCGACAAATCGCCTACCACGAATTTTTCACGATTTCTCGTCAGCAAGTCCTCGCCAACTGGCAACAAAAGTGGAATGATGGTGATCTGGGAAGATGGCTATATTCTATTGTCCCACAGGTGTCGATCAAACCCTGGTTCAAAGGGTTGGATATGAGTCGTGATTTTATTCGTGTAATGTCCAGGCTCATGTCCAATCACTGTTCGTTAAACGCCCACGTCTTCCGTATTACGCTCGCCGACAGCAACTTATGTACGGTTATCACGACATCGAGCATGTTGTTTGGTCCTGTTCCTTGCATTATGAGGCGAGATCCGTTCTGTGTGATTCCCTTAGGGTCCGAGGAAAACCACCCCATTAAGCCAATTAGAGACGTCTTGGCTTGCCGTGATATCGACACTATGAAGCTTATTTACGACTTTCTTAAAGCTGTTGATGTATGTGTTTAGTGTTTTGTGTTTTAGTCATCCTTTACGTTTAAGTTTTAAATTAGTTCAAAATGCTTTCCCTTGTCCTCCCTCCAAATGATCAATAAATGTAATCCCTAATCTCGAGTAAACCGCGAGTAATCGGCCCCCGTTCTACTAACATTAGTTGTAAGAAAATGATATTCACACACAATAATGTAAAAAATATTCGGCTCCGCAAAGCTAACGCATTTGAGCCTTGACAAATAAATGGATTATTAAAAAAAAAAAAAAAATTATGTACGTAAATATGACATGATCAGTGGCCCGAATAAATCATAATTCTTATATTTATGCAGTGCATCTACATTCTATCCAAACATAAAAAAACTAAAAAGTAATTTTCTGGATTCGAATCTATGTATTCGGCATGGGATCTACGAACGCTAACCACTGCGCTACAAATGTGTTGGAATACCATGCGGGCAAACACCAATTTAAAATTCATCAAGGTGTTGTGTTTCGTATTCAAGTCAGTCAGCTGGCACTGAAAACTCCAACAGTAGGCGGGACAACAGCTCACTTTAACATATCTCAGATGACGCAGCGGTTCATGCTGGGGCTCTCACGCAGAAGGACTGGATTTAATTCTTCAAACAGCTCCAATTCTACTACTAATGCTGATAAATTAATACTCATTAATACCTGTCTTAAGAAATAACTTTCATAAAAGTATGAACTAAATATAGAATTGGTGTAGAGGACAAAAACCTTTTTTAATTTATTTTCTAAAAGTTCCGTTCAAGTTCCGTCAGAACCTGCTTAGAATGCTCTTCAATTATGATACCGGAACTTTCAAGTTCTTATAACGACTTAAAAATGAGGCAGCTTAGAATTCTATAGACCACCACCAACCAAGCTGCTTAAGCCACAAATAGCCTTTTATCAGAACTTTTGGTTACTTGGGTATTCCTGTGATGATTACTGGGCGACCCGAAATTAAAAACCCAGAAAATTTTTACTGACTCCAGTAATGTAAAGTTAGTGTATGTGCCTGATGATGTGCCATGAATCCGAACCGAAAAATTTGGAAAAAAGGTTTTTGGTGTGGCAAGCCATTTGCTCCTATGGCTTGAAGAGTTCTTCGTATTTCACAACGGGCACAATCAATGGTGAAAATGAAAGAAACGAATGAATCAAAAAACGGCTTCTACCCATCTACCGAAAGTAGAGTTTCCATTTCCCGGTGGTTTCCACTATCCCGGGATTCGGGAAATATTTATTTGATATCCCGGGGAATCCCGGGATCCCGGGAAGTCAATAAAGATAGTAATTTTTTTTAATATTCGTATGATCGTAATTTCTTTAAACGATGTTCTGAAATCTATGTTTCATCTCCTTAGAAGAATGATTAAATAAAAGAGATTTCTTCAATACTAGGGACATCCGATTTAACAACATGTCCGGCCTTACGCTTGACCCCTGCCATCAGATTTTGTACAGCCACCTTGTCCACCTTCTTCGCCGCAGAAAGCCAGTTTGCCTTGAACTGCTGCTCGCCCTTAGCAGTTTTTTTTTGTCTTCTTTAGGTTCCGCTTGACAATAGCCCAGTATTTCTCAATTGGGCGGAGCTCTGGCGTGTTGGGAGGGTTCTTGTCCTTGGGAACCACCTGCACATTGTTGGCGGCGTACCACTCCATGGCCTTTTTACCGTAATGGCAAGATGCCAAATCCGGCCAAAACAGTACGGAACAACCGTGTTTCTTCAGGAAAGGCAGCAGACGTTTATTCAAACACTCTTTCACGTAAATTTCTTGGTTGACAGTCCCGGAAGCTATGAAAATGCTGCTTTTCAAGCCACAGGTACAGATGGCTTGCCAAACCAGATATTTCTTTGCGAACTTTGACAGTTTCATGTGCTTGAAAACATCTGCTACCTTTCCCCTTCCTTTTGCCGTATAAAACTCCTGTCCCGGAAGCTGCTTGTAGTCGGCTTTGACGTAGGTTTCGTCGTCCATTACCACGCAGTCAAACTTCGTCAGCATCGTCGTGTACAGCCTCCGGGATCGCGCTTTGGCCGTCGTATTTTGTTTATCATCGCGATTTGGAGTCACTACCTTCTTGTAAGTCGATAGTCCGGCTCGTTTTTTGGCTCGATGCACGGTTGTAGACGATACACCCAGCTTATTTGCGGCATCTCGGAGAGAGAGGTTAGGGTTTCGCTTGAAACTACCGGCAACTCTCTTTGTCGTCTCAGCGGCTTCCGTTTTTCGATTTCCCCCCGATCCAGACTTCCTGGCTGTCGACAAACGTTCCCCAAACACTTTAATTACATTTGTAACGGTTGATTTGGCAACTTTTAGCGATTTTGTCAACTTTGCGTGCGAGTAGCTCGGATTTTCGCGATGCGCGAGCAAAATTTTGATACGCTGCTCTTCTTGCTTGGACGGCATTTTGACAACTGAAGAGTGAATTCCAAAATCAAAATAGGAGCAACATTCTACACACACACACCTTCAAAATGAGGGGTGTTCAGGTTTTTTAAATGCAAAATTGAAAGAAATACGTCAAGTTGATATTGACCAAATTTTGACCGTATCACCCTTTATCCAAAGATATCATCACAAATCCATGAATATCAGTTATACGAAGATTCGTGTACTTTCAAGAAAGTTCTTGAACTTAAACTTAGTTCCATGAACTCAAAGCCTACATAAAGTTCTCTGAATATGTAGAATATTCTACGAAATTCTGGGATTTTTCGTCAACTTCTTCGAAGTATCCAGTACTTCAAAGATTTTTCCATAGCTTACATCTTTTAATTTTTCGATAGGTACAACTGAATTTCTGCCCAGCTTGTTGTACTTGTACGAATTTTAAATCATTCAATTTTTATTCATTCCGTAATCATCGTCCACGAAGTTGTTAAACATTCTACGAAGTATCCTGAAGATCTATGCTGATCCCTGAAGTTTTACGAGGTTCCACGAATTTCTATGAAGTTATCTGAAACCAAATGAATGTCTCTTGACATCTAAGAAGTTCAATAATGGGACGTGATATTATGATTGTCAGCCAAATTTCGCAATAGTCCGTGCAGATCATGATGATTATGGTGGATGATTTCTCTCATGAATTTATTTGTAAAAACTATTTTGCCGTGCTTTAGGCAAAATACTTACATAATAATGGGTAAAGGTAATGCATACCTTTCAACGTAACGAATGACAGCCAGGGAGAGCTATGGAAGCCAAGATAGAAGCCGGTGACTCCATAAACTGCAAATACTGAGTCTTTTCATCAGTTGAGACTAGTACTACGTACTTCCAACCATCTTAACAATGCATTCCAATGGTTTTTGATCAACTATGAATGATGGTCATCTCACGATGCTCAACCTGATTGAATCAAAATGTTCACGGTTTGTTTCACTGCTAGATCGTATTTTTCACGAGTGCTTCTTGTACAACGATCATATACAAAAAGTGGTGTCTGTGTGCAATTCTTTCGAAAAATCAGAATGAATGGCAAACGAAGGGAAGAGATATACTTCATAAGATGTGAAAGTTCTGGATTCAAATTCTACTACAGATATTCCAAGAAAGATTTATAGTGGTAAAAGAGTCTCAAATTTAAAAAAATCCCGGGGTACACGCGATCCCGGGATTTTTAAATTAATTTCCCGGGATTCGGAAATCCCGGGAAATATATTAATCCCGGGATTTTCATCCCGGTATGGAAGCTCTAACCGAAAGCATACGGATCCTCCATTGTTTTTTGCCAGATCTGGGATCTGCTCACTATGCTTCTGCTACGTTGGAGATGCTCCAAAATCCGTTAAACTGACCTGAACTGCGTCCTATCGAAAGATACTGGGCAATAATTAAACGACATCTTAAGAGAGATGGAAGAGAAGCAAGCTCTGTTGACTGCTTCAAGAAAATTTGGTCTGCAGCACAACGAAAATTTAAGAAGAAAGTTGTGCAGAATCTAATGAGCGGTATCAAGAGAAAAGTCCGAGCGTTCTTCAGAAATGAGAAGTAAACATTCAAACTCACGTGAAATTGGTCATATCAAGAACAACATGTGAAAGGGGCATACAAACTTTTGGTAAACAAACCTTCTTATGCCCTTTTCTCGCCACCCATATGACACCAACGCAAACCATCATCATCATCGGGTAGGGGAATCTTTACCCTTCCCGATGATGTTGTTGGTTTGCGTGGGCAACTTCTCGGTTGGCGAGAAAAGGGCCTACAAAGGTTTGTTTACAAAAAGCTTGTATGCCCTTTTCACATGTAGCTCTTGATATGTATGTTAATTTTCATTAATATAAAGTAAACTTATGAATGTGTGCGAAAATTAATATTTTCCTTTGAGAAACAGGTGTCTACTTTCATTAATGAACAGTCCTTAGATGTAGCTAAAAAACTGTAAATTATACAAATATCTTCAATCGTCATTTTCCAAACGGGACTAATATGCGAGTACTGGTAGTTTAAGGTGAATAATATTGTCCTTTCTTTCAAACGTAAGCTGTTTTTTCGAGTTTTTTTTATTAATTAATTTAATAACAAATACAGTAGGACCCTAAACAAAGCCATGGTTAAACAAAGTAAAGTAAATCTTCATTGTCAAACATAAATTACTGTTGGGCAAAATTATTCTACTTGAAAGAGACAGGAAGAACTGGGTTTCTTATTCGTAAACGTTCGTTTCATGCCACCAGTCGAATCACGTTCATCATCACTGGAGCGTGTGTGCTTTGTAACAAGATCCCTTATCCATGGTCCCACACTGACCACATCGCTGTACACCTCACTCATTTTGTCGACACAATCCGCCGATCCGAACGATCGCATGCCAAATAGATAGGTGTACGTGTTTATTCCGTCGTGTTTCGTGTAGAATAGGGGGGCACCGGAAATGGGAATTTTGCACCCTTTTTCTTCACTGTACTCGCAGCTGTACGTGCCATCTGATTGGACTATACTGGACATCTCGCATCGTTGGAAGCAATTGAGATGATCCTCCTCAGTGATGTTGATGTTCTGCTTTTTGTACATTGCACTGCAGTAGTTGAACCGAATTGACCTCATGAGAGACGACTTCAGTTGCTTGGGATGATCATCACGGCGATACCAGGCGGCCAAATTAAAGTATGGATTGAGTTCGTACTTTGATGGCAAGCAAACTGGTCTTGTATTATCTGAAACAGAATAAAATTGCCATAATTGTTTTGATTGAATCAAACTTGCCATTAGGTATTTACTTCCTAAGGTAACGCTTTGTGCCAAGTGCAATAAGCTGACATCGTAGCCATTTTTTCCACTATCGAATCGTCCATTTATGAAGACTTCGGAAACTTTGATTGTTTGAAAGTTGTAGTCCTTGCTGAACGGATCTGGGCCAATCAATTCTTCACCTAGAACCACATGTAACCTGAAATTGATTCCAATCAGATAAGCAATCTCTCCGAAACCGAATCATTCCGTGCTTACAGCTTCCGATCATGTTTATGATTAACACATCTTGCCGGTGCGAGCACAAACTCCGGATGAATCAACACGCCATGGCAATCGCTAACGTTGAACCGATTCCAGTATGAGTAGTACAAATGAGCAACCCAAGGATGTTGCTCGGAATGAACAAACTTGATGTGCCTCACGTTGGTTTCCTCGAAGTGACCCATTCCGCATTCTTTCAGTCCTAAAAGATTATGCCGCTTCGGAGCAGCGTGCCTTTCGATCCACTTCTGATAATAAGTCACATCCATAAACAGTACATCCTTTTTCGGGTCGCATAAATAACGGGTGTCCTGCGTAGGAGTTCCCTGATTGACGATTCCTCTGATGAACCACGTGTTTTTGAAATAGAAGAACATTCCACCACCACTATCTCCCTTGCAAACGCTTGCTCCTCCCCGATTGCCAGCACAGAAGTTTTTACCCTTCGCCAACAGAGGCTGAAACGACTTGGTGTGCTCAGCACAGCTTTCGAAGCTAATCAGCGACAAACTAGTTTCTCGCAAGACATTGGAAAACGTCCCGTTTACCGAGAGACCCCAACCGACGACAATGCCCTGATCCTGCTGGCGGGCTAGCGTTTCCAAGCTAGGTCCTCCTTCGGGCCACAAGCAAATTGGAGAGACGTGGAAACTATACTCGATCGCAGTTTCCAACTTGAGTAACGCTACATCGTTTGTTCGCGTTCGCAGGTTGTAATGTTCATACCGAATGATATCTTCGACGGTAAAATATTGGGCAGCATCTGGAATTGAAAGATCTCTGATTCCTGCCACAACAAACAATTCGGACGGTTGCACGGGAATCTTTTCATCACGAAACGTAGCATGAGCTGCCGTCAGGATGAACCACTCGTTGATGATCGATCCTCCTGCTATATAATCAGCCGTTTTGTTGTAGAGCGCAACGTGCCATGGCCAAATGTCTATTATTTCATCGGAGCCAGGAACGCTGACCATCTTTGTTTCACCGCATCGTATGCCTGTTGCAAAGTTCAACGATGCTGTAAGTGTGTGATTCAGCGTAATGATTTCAAACCTACCTCTCTTCTTAGTCTGCGCGATGGATAGATGAAAGAATACGATGATTCCATATGTAGCTAATCCTAGTACTTTCATAGTAGCTGATGTACTGAAACCAAATGTAAATTTTAACTCGCAGATTAGTGGTGTAGCTTGTGGTTCAATAGTGTATCTGAAATCGTTCCATGCCTAATACTATCTTGACAAGCAATCAGCTATTTTCATAATATTAATTCTTACTTTGCGCTCGTTGGCGTGAAAGCGTTTTCTTATACTTACAGCATACACCATTATAATGCGTTCTAATGATGCCGATCATTCTTGTTCCACTAAAGCAATCGATCAATTTATTATAATAGCAAAAAAGCCACTTTTGACCAGACTGTTTTAAAAGTTTCAATTTTATTCACGCAGCTTTAGATTATTGTAATTCCAGGCAGGCCAACTACGTTCGATTGCCCCGTTTGTAAGAACGTTTGGGTTCCATTTCTAGAGCCGAATACCGTTGACGGAATTTGTTCTAGGCTTCTCTGGTACTCGCCAGCTTTTGCTTTAGCTTCTCTTCGCTCCAAGATATTCCACCAGGCTCCATTTGGGATCCACTCACATCCCATCGTTTAAGTATGCTTCTCACCCAGTTTTTTTTTTAAGTTCGTTTATTTGGAAGGCTCATTCGCGTTAGCTTTACGGAGCTGATATTTCATTGTTTTTAACAAAATTCACTTATTTCTATATCTAGTAGGAGTTGGGCCGAATACTCGCGGCTTACCCGAGGTTAGAGGGGTACATTGTCGAAGGATATGATCAGAGGAAGAGCTTGGGAGTGGGGTTTCGTTGCCTCAGTATGAACGGTAGTGCGGTTCTAAACTTGTCTGGAGTTTGACCGGCTATGTGGGCGACGATGAGACTCATCGAGACGGGAGGCAAGACAAACACAAGCTAATAAAGAGAGACAAAAGACAAGGAATTAAATTACTGTACTAGAAATTTGCAGAAACACATTAATCAAATATATTGTTGCCAAAAACGGGTGTTGCCAAAAACGGAAAGGCACTATATTATTTACTGTAATTTGGAACAAATAAGAAAAATTTAAAAAAAATCGTAATCATCACCAGTCCGAGCTACGCGGTGCGAGAACACTCGGATCGCTAGGACACCTGCCAATCGCCCAATCACCTGCCAAGTCCTGCGGTCATCCCCGGGTCCTGAGTATCTGACCGCCAGTTCAAAAAGGTAATCGACCCATTTTTCATTCGTAGCCACAATTTCCCTGAGCTTCAACTCCAGTCTGTCGAAACCGTGGATGTCACTATTCCGATGATGTCTCCAAAAGTCGAGGTAACCTGTCTTGTTCTGTTGGTGGTTCTATTTACATGAGGTGTGCATGAAGCAGTCGGGCTGAACCTAGTTTAGCATGTCCAAACATAAATTCAGTGGCATTAGTCGCCAGAGCAGTCACGCGGACTGCTTGCTAAGAAACCCATCTAAACAAATTCCCACGTTTGATAATTTGAGGTACACTTACACGAAACAACGACGAGGAAGAAAAGCGTCCGCTATTTATCCTCCAGAGCTCTACGCAGTGGTCGTAGGTGGGTAAGGCCAACTCGTTCAACGGTCTCAGCTATGTAGCAGTCCAACCAAGGTCATCGTAGTTCGTCAGCAAGTTCCTACATATTATCAACATCGGGTCAGGTGTACCATCGTCGCCGATCAGGCGTTTGCGTCGGCCAGAAGGTCTCTATTCCAGGCAAGTCTCTATTTAGTTCAAAAAATTAGTTTGAAAAGTACCAGTTCATTATTTCATAGATCAGCCAGCCACCATCGAGGACATCGAAATATGAGAGGATGAAATGTAGCATGCATATTTTCCAAATCAATCAATTTTCAGTGTTCTCTAAGCTTTCGAGACGAGCAGACATACATATAGCTCGATGTACTGTATTGTATTGACGGAGACATGGCTCGATGACTGTTTTTACAGTGCTCAACTGTTCGGAAATGCCTTTTCGGTTTATCGCACAGACCAACAGTGCAAAAACCCGTGGTGGAAGTGTCCTAATCGCTGTTTCATCTCGTTGGAACAGTTGTATCGATCCGACACCTGTTCCGATGCTCTAGAACAGCTGTGGGTTAGAATCACTACGCCAAGTCGAGTTATTAGTGTAGGCGTGATCTATTTACTTCCTGACCGCCGCAACGATGTCATTGGTACTCAGGATCATGTGAACTCCTTCGGTGCTATTGTTTCCAATTTGGAATTCAATGACTATGTTCTGCAGCTCGGAGATTATAACCAGCCTTTGCTCCGGTGGAGTAAGTCGTACGATGGGTATTTCCAGGTTGAGCCTCAATTGGTTCTATCGGCTGCTAGTTCAACGCTTATTGACGGTTTCGCTTAACATGGCCTCACGCAAATCAATGGTGTATTGAATAGGATCGCTCGCTTGCTAGACCTTGTTCTGTCGAACGAAGCTGCATGCACCGTTTCGGAAGCCATAGAACCTCTGATCTTTCTTGATGCAGACCACCCTGCTTTAGACGTCCTGATGAACCTCCCAGCGCCAGTCGTTTTTGAGGATTGTTCCGTAAATAATCGGACACTGGATTTCCGTCGAGCCGACTATGTTGCGATTAGCGCTGCTATTTCCGGTATCGAATGGCGACCATTAGAATTAGCTGAATGTGTTGACGATGCCGTTGAATATTTCAGTCAAATGATTTGGGATATCGTGGCTGAATTTGTATCTATTGCCCGCCCCGTACCAAAGCCACCGTGCTCTAACGGTCACTTGCGTCGACTGAAACGGTATAGAGCTAAATCGATACGAAGAAACTGCCAAAATCGTTCGTACATTACGCAGCAGAAGTTCAACCGCACAAGTAACGACTATAGGAAATGCAACAGATTCCTGTATCGACGATATGTCTTCCGCACGCAATCATCTCTTTGCAGAAATCCAAAGCGTTTCTGGTCGTTTGTAAACTCTTAAAAGAACAAAGTCGATTTACCATTGTCAGTTCATCTCGGTGAGCAAACCGCTGAATCTGAACCGGAGAAATGCCGCCTTCTTGCTTTTGAGTTCGTTCAATGAATCTTCGGCCTCACCAAATAAAGTCACGATTGCTATAAGCGATTCTCCAACAGATGCATTTGAGCTCCGTCCGTTTCACATCAGTGAACATACCGTCAATCTAGCTCGTCAAAGGTTGAAATTCTCGTTTGCTGCCGGGCCAGACGGCATTCCTGCGTCCGTTCTGAAGCTGTGTTCGGAGTCGTTGCTCACTCCCTTGGTGAAGTTATTTAATCTGTCTCTACAGGAGAGGAAATTTCCTGAGGCGTGGAAATTTTCGTTCATGTTCCCCGTCCACAAGAAAGGCGATAAAATGAATGTCCAGAATTACAGAGGAATCACGTTACATGTTGCTGCTCCAAAGTATGCGAGATCATCATCAATGAGGCGCTCTACTGCTCTTGTTAAAATTACATCTCCACGGCTCAGCATGGATTCTACCCAAAATGGTCAGCTGCAACCAAATTGACCGAATTCGTGTCGCTCTGCGTTCGGACAATGGACTCTGGCGGACAAATCGACGCGGTTTACACTGATCTCAAGGCTTCATTTGACCGAGTAGACCTCAACCTTCTTTTGAGCAAGCTTGAGAAACTCGGAGTGTCTGGATCCTTCATCTCGTGGTTCATATCTTACCTTACGAACCGTTCGCTTTGCGTTAAGATTGGAGCTTCTCATTCTGAAGTGTTCACGAACGTTTCCGGCGTTCCCCAGGGAAGTAATCTGGGACCCCTTCTGTTTTCGCTTTTCGTCAACGTGTCTACTGCCACCTGGATGCCGGCTATTCTACGCTTACGATGTCAAAATGTATGCGGTTCTCAATTGCATCGCTGATTGTGAGGAGTTGCAGATGATTGTGGATCGTATGCAGAGTTGGTGCTCCCGTAATTTCATGACGCTTAGCATCAACAAGTGCAACGTGATATCATTTCACCGCAAACAAAACCCGATAATATTTGATTATTCCATTTCCGGGCAAACATTATAGATGATTAGCCAGGTCAAAGATTTGGGAGTAACACTCGACTGTGAATTGACCTTCAAACAGCACTATAATGACATCCTGACTAAAGCTAACAGGCAGCTTGGCTTTATGTTCAAAATATCTGAAAACTTTCGCGATCCGCTTTGCCTGCGGGCGCTGTATTGTTCGTTAGTACGTTCAATTTTAGAGTAAAGTGCTGTCGTCTGGTGCCCATACCAAGCATGCTGGATAGCCATATTTGAGAGTGTACAGAGAAAGTTTGTTCGCTACGCGCTTCGTCATCTGCCTTGCCGTGACACGGCTAACTTGCCGTCTTACGTGGATCGCTGTCGTCTGCTTGAAATTGACATCTTGGAACAAAGAAGACGGAACGCTCAAACTGTGTTTGCTGCTAAGATTATTAGCAGCGAGATTGATTCCCCCGAATTACTTCAGCAGCTTTTCTTTTACGCACCTGAGAGAGTGATTAGACAGCGTAATTTTGTACATCTCGCAGCCCGTAATCGGCAATATGGGTTGAATGAACCTACCCGAGCCGTCGCTAATGCGTTTAATGACATTCACAAGACGCGACGCGAGACAAGACACAACACTTATCGTTCTTACAACTTTAAAATAAATTAAAATTTACCTTACTGTCGACCGGTTTCGGGCGTGATGCTGCCCATCTACGGGACAATGTCCGACCGTTTAATGACGTCTATGCATTGTTTGAATGTAATGTGCCGTTAACTGTTTTTATTAGAAGACTGTCTTGAATTAGAATGTGTCCTGTTTTTGTTTTAACTATACTATTTTAATTCATTAAGACAACCATGTGTCAAATGAATCATTGGAACAATAAATAAATAAATGTGTATCACGCAATCGTCTGTATACTCGGCAGCAACCATTGTGTTGTGCTCAGAGGTTGAATCTGTTGATGTTTTTTACGATACTCGCTTCGTTGTCGTGTGCTTGTATTCGTATTCTCATGCTTTACCGTCGTCTCTCTTACACAACACAAACGGTAGAACAACATTCGAGCAAAACGAAAATTTTCAAATAGCTATCATCTAACATGTGAGCAACATCTGTCGGTGTGGAAACGGTTACGATGACATCGAACACGCAGTTTGGCAATGTACGGATAATGACGCCGCCAGAGAGCGACTTTTGAATACCCTCGAGGCCCAAGGAAGACAACCCTATGTTCCTATCAGAGACGTGTTGGCAACCCGTGATCTCTGCTATATGCAGTCCGTTTATGTTTTTCTTCAAATGTCTAGTATAATAATTTAATTCCTTTTGTCTTTTGTCTCTCTTTATTAGTTTTTGTTTGTCTTGTCCCCCCGTCTCGATGAGTCTCATCGTCGCCCACTGGTCACCCACCATAGCCGGTCGAACTCCGGACGAAGCTAGAACAGCACTACCGTTCATACTGGCGACAACGCTCTGATGAGACAACGAAACCCTACCCCAAGCTCCTCCCCTGATCCTATCCTTCGAAAATGTACCCTTCTAACCTCGAGTAAGCCGCGAGTAATCGGCCCAACTCCTACTAGACATAGAATTAAGTGAATTTTGTTACACACAGTGAACAATGAATTATCGGCTCCGTAAAGCTAACGCGATTGAGCCTTCCAAATAAACGAACTAGATAAAAAAAAATCTGACATGTGTGATTTTGTTCTAATTCCTTAATTTGGTATAAATTAAACCATTTTTTATCAGGAATATTATTACTAGAACAAAGTTGCTTGCTATTTTCTGAATTCACACAAGCACCACATCAACAGCGCTTATTATGAGAAAAACTAAAATACATACATTTGTGACGGTCTTCGGCAACAGTGTCGTATGACAGAGCCTTTCATATGACATTTTAGTTTGGTGCTGTAATTTGATAGCTTGATTTGCAAGTGTCGGAAGCAAAGGTAGTCGATTATCACAGACAATGTGTCAACTACGGTGACCGCTTACAAGACTGGTGGTGCTCATTGTTCTTCATCTGCAGTTCCTTCGGTCGATGGGTCGTCAACTTTGAAAAGCAACCGTTTCGTGATGAGTGTGTGACTGAATACCACAATTTGTGCCCATTTGTGCCGTGGATGCGCTATGCCCCCCTTTGGCGATGTTGCCATACCTTGAAACCACTGGAAGGGAACCCCGTTCTGATGGAAGAAGATTTTTGGATAAAATGTTTTTTTTTTGTGTTGTACCTTATGACTCTAGTTTTAAGATGTATTGTATAGCGAAAAAGAAATCTCGGCACTGTGAAGTTTATTCGATCATGCCTAATAAAATAAAGTAATTATCAAAAAAAATTAATCAATTTTAGGGTTACCTTTATTTTTTCAGTTACAGTCAACTGTCCATAAATCAGACCAAGACGTAAATACGTCTAGGTAGAATGTGTCATTCCGTTCTTTGGGTTAAGTACGATCTAAACCAATTCACCGAAGCAGAAGATACACCAACTGCACGAAGCTCATTCATATTGACTGAAAGTGGATGAAGCCAATCTCTCAGTCTTAGTGAAGGAGGTTGTGAAAAGCTAATCTAGAAATAAGAAAACTTTAAAGCGATCGTTGTGAGTAAACTGATAAGAATTTGAAATCGAGTATCATCCATAGTTATTCACGTTAGAATGCAACTCTTATCAAAAACGTTCAGATTTCTAAACTATTAGTTTTTATTTCTTCACCAGAATGGATGTGCGAATGGTTGCTTCCTTTGCAATAATTTTATTTATTTTTCTGAGAAATGTATCAACCATAAGTATTGGCTAAGTTTTCCACTAGAGTTGAATCTCGAGTATAACCGCTTAACGTTTATTAACAGATATACCTTGTGGAGAAATGCGATACACAGAGGAAGAAGTTGCCAAACCTTTCAAAACCTGGCCATGGCACGTGGCTTTGTACAGCAGTGACAATAACTATATCGCCGGTGGATCGATCATCAGTGAGTGGTTCGTGCTAACAGCGGCTCAAGTCACTTATATAAACGGAAGCATCCCAATGAAACCGAATGAATTGCAGGTCGTGATGGGCATTAGAGATCTTTCGGATCCTCAAAACTACAAGAAGAAATCAAACGTTTCAAATATCATTCGCTACGAAAACTATAACCCACAGACTAGAATGAATGACCTGGCACTGTTGAAGGTGGACACGATAATTGAGTTCAATCATTACATTTCATCGATATGCCTGTGGCCAAGTGTTGGACTAAGCTTGGAAGCATTAGCTGGTCGAGGACAACAGGGAATTGTTGTCGGTTGGAAATGGGTTCAGAAAGGGGATGTCAAGCATGTTTTGAGTGAAACTAATGTGTCTGCTAGCAATGTTGAAAGGTGCGCTGATTTATTACAAGATGGATCGTCAAAGAAGAAGAATTATTGCATGACAAGCAGTGGTGAAAGTGTACATAGCGGAGGTGGAATGTATTTCCAGTTGGATGATGTTTGGCATGTAAGAGGAATCGTCAGTCAGAGACCACCAACTATAGAGGCCAAGGACGTGAAATTGGTGGATATCACTTACTACCAAAAATGGATTGAGAGGCATGCTTTACCAAAGCAGCATAATCTTCTAGGATTGGAAGATTGCGGTATGGGAAGCTATGTAGAATCCAATGATAGGGAGAAGAACATTCTAGCAGGCAATCAGCATCCGTGGATCGCTCATCTGGCTTATCTATTTTGGGGTAGATTCAACGTAAGCGATTGTCATGGAGTACTGATTCATCCGGAGTTTGTAGTTACCTCTGCAAAATGTACCGACAGTCGAAAATATCGGGAGCTGTAAGACAAATTGCAACTTTTTTGTTTGAAACATTTTATGATTGAAGAGCTATTTTTAGATTACACGTTATTTTGGGAGAATGTTCCGTCGGCAAGGATCCTTACAGCTCTAATAGAAGCAATATTCAAGCAGTAAAAGTAGAGGAGCATCTGTTTTCCCAAGCAATCCAGACAAGTGAAGACATTTTTGACATCAACGTTCTACGACTGGCCAAAAATGTTATCCTTACAGGTATTTAAGCTTTTCATAATGTAGCACTAGTCATAATGATGGAAAATTTTCCAGACAACGTCAAACCAGTGTGTCTTCCACCGGTTGAAGAGCCGGTCCCGTACTACAGCATGACCGCCTGGTACCGCCGAGACGAACATCCAAAAGAGCTCAAAACGTCTCTCATGCGATTAGTTCCATTCGATCAGTGTCGATCGTCGTATCTGGAAATGGGTATTAACTTCACAACGAAAGACTATGTTGCTTGTTTCGAGCCCTGTCAACTCTCCGAAAAGGCGGAAACGGATGGCACGTACAATTGCGATTCTACCAAAATCGGCAAGTGCAATCGTGCCCTTTCTGCCAGTCCTATATTTTTCACTCAGCACGACGGTGTCAACACCTACACCTATTTAGCAGGTGTACGATCATTTGGCACGGCAGACTGTCATGACGGTATGCACGATGTGTTCAATGATATTGTGTCGTTCAGATCTTGGATCGAGACATTGGTAGACGAAAAGGCATGGTTTACTGACGACGAAGATCATGTGTTACATGACTACGAACCGGTAACCCATACGATTCACTATGAGATGGATGATGATGGAAATTTAATCTATGAGGATGCAGATCACAAAATTGGCGACAGAAAATTGTATTTGGAAACTGACGATGATGGTAATCGGAAAGAAATTGAAAATGACGAGGAACCGTGAAATATTAGTTCTTAAACTGTGTTTCTTGTGTGCAACAAACACCAAATTCATAAAACTATTTGAAAATTACTATGACAATCACTGTACAGAACCTGCATGTGCGAAGTTTTATTACAAATATTGCAAATCTTTTATTTTAATTGTAAGACAACCTTTCCTCCCCAATTTCCCCATAGTGTATTGGCGCGATTGCCCAGATCTATAAAAGCAACTGCTGAAGGGTCCTTGCAGGCTATATTAATCCTAATCTAACCTTACCTTTATCCTCCTTGGTCCAGTGTCCTTCAGTGAGATATGCCAACCAGTGCTGCAAAATCTCGACAGTACACGGTGATATTGACAATTCTGCTTTGGTCACTCATTGGAGCTAACAGTCATAGTCAAGGCAAACCATGTCAATTGTCAATGACAATGCTGTCAGTGACGAACATGTGTAGATTAATTTATTAGCTAAATTTGTAACGAAATTAAATGACTTCAGCAAAAAAATTACATGGATCCATTTTAGTGAACAAGTATCTACGTCCTGAGCTACTTGGATAACAATAATGTGACACAGAATGTACTAAATTAAACTTTTTGTTACCAGGTGAAGCTTTGTCATTGACGAAAAAATGAATGAGATTTTGACGAAGGTTTTTTTGAGGACAAGTCTGTCAGTGACTATGTGACGAACAATTTAGTCAATATCGCGCGAAAGTCTGTCTGTGACAATGACAAATCTCAGCACTGATGCCAACTACCCAAGTAAACCACATGACTGCTTATTGCCCTTTTCACATTGTAAGTCTGATGTTCGACTAATATGATGTTTGGGAGAATTAGTGGGCATGGTGGTTACTTCGGTGACTCAGTTCATGGCTGATTGTCTCCAGCTTCTTGAGCGTTCCACCAAATATTATAAATTAACAATATGATTCACTCCCAGAATTCCCATATGTTTCTGAAAAGACGCAAAAGTAATACCCTCTCCCGGTGAGAAAGGTGACTAAATACATTTCAAATCAATTTATAAGTTTGGTCAAATAAAAGGTGTGGCAAACAGTATTAGCTTTTTCATGCATGTTACACGCCTACCCTGACGACATTGTACTACGTTCAGACTATAGTTGATATTAATAACGTAATAGCTTAAAGGTGAACCAAACAAATCAAACAAAGGTAAACAAAGTCGAGCTATCAGTGTCAATCGATGCTCCTGCTATTACACTATAATACTGTCCGAATATAGGATCACATCCCATTTTTAAATTTATTTACCAGTCGAATTGCTTTTTGACGTAATCACCTTCCGATCAAAATAGTTTTCGATGTTACTTAAGTCACCCGATTTATATGGAGATGCCGTTTGCCTTAAGTAACAGCACTGAGAAACCCGTGAAAAGTGTACTTTCGTCGTTTCGCTTTCTCATTATTAAAGTGAATAAATCGAACTGTTTGTTGCTAAGATGATTTCGGTGGTCCTAAAATGATGAATGAGCTGCACGTAAGGAGACGTAATTGATAATTCTCCCGAATATCCTTTCACATCATTTGCGCCAAGGTTGAACTGGAGCTTCTTGACCAGCTGGGACTGTACGAGAAAAACGTGTTCTGGATGTGTGATCACTGTTCCGAGCTTTTCACTAACGGTCATTTCCGCAACATCGTCAGCCGGGACAGCGCGCAGAGCTCTTTAATACCGGAAGCCGTCGATTCGATGAAGGCGGACATTGATAAATTGAATTCGGCAGTGGCCGCCCTAGCGGCCAAAGTAGACTCGAAACTACCATCCGCTTCGACATCGACATTGTCTTGGCCTAGATCGGATCGTCTCAACTCTAATCGTAACACCCCAAAGCGTCGTCGGACCTCGATTAACTCGAACGATAAACCGATTCTCAGCGGCACGAAACCACCCAGTGAGTCGATTAAAACAGTTAACCAAAATGCGGATAAGGTGTGGGTATATTTATCGGCGTTTCACCCCAGTACCACGAACGAAGATATTGCGTCACTCGTTCGTGACTGTCTGGCACTGGACGCTAGTGAAACACCAATGGTGGCCAAACTGGTACCCAAAGGTAGAGATCCAACAACGCTGAACTTCGTATCGTTCAAAATTGGCGTCAAGAAAGAACTGCGTGACCTGGCACTTTCTTGCGACTCTTGGCCTGAGAGTATCCAGTTCCGTGAGTTCGAAGATTCACGAAGCTTGAAAATCACCCAATTGACGAATGCTGCCCCTATGGAGTGACAGCTTATACTTCCAGAAATTCAACCGAGACGCACCGTAGAAAGCCTGATGGAAGCTCCCAATCGTCCCAACCCAGTCCGGCATATCGCAGCCTCCGTTCATCACAGCCGTCTCGGTGCTGTGGTTGGTGGTGGAAAGGGAGTCTTCCACCATGCTTGCACAGGCAAGTACTGTTTTGATTCGAGCTTTTCGTTGCGTGACGAGTTTTCCCGCACCCAGGTTATCATTAGCTGTCCGGACCATGATGAAGTGAATCCTGTTGCTGCTGCACTTCGGACAAATAGACGCATCGCAGGAACGAACGATGAGTATTTTCAACCGGGACGCACCGTAGAAAGCACTTGGGAAGTCCTCGGTTCCTCTAACTCAGTCGTGCCGATTCCTGCCAGCGTACATCAATGTCGTCCCGGCCCTGAGCTTGGATGTGGATCGAGGGTCTTCCAACTTGCTATGTCAGGCAAGTACAAATATTATTCTGAACATTCACTGCCTGATGCCGAGTCGAATTTCAGCACTCTGGATGTCACCGATCGAGGAAATGCTTCTACTCCTGTTAATTGGAACCTGGGACGCGCTGTAGAAAGCATTGTGGAAGCCCCCAATCCCTCTGACCCAGTCCTGCCATCTGCCGCCTCCGGTCTTCATAGTCGTGCCGGGCCTGTGGTTGGATGTGGAGAGGGGGTCTTCCAACCTACTCACTACGGCGAGTATCCACTTGAGATTGTTCATGTCCATTCGCCACCTGATATTTCCATGACTTCCAGGGAAAACGCCTTACCTCGTGCGACCACCGACCGTAGTAAACACGACGTCATTTTCTACACAGTTCGAAAAAGTAGTGTAAATTTCTGTTCAATATGATGCACATAAATGGAGCGTCACATATCATATAAGTTTAATTTATAAATCATGTAAAGTTCTGAGACATTTCATGCAATGTAGAAAATATTGTTTACAAGAGCCCATCTTTGTAAACAACATTGTTTACAAGTTGCTCGGTTGCATGAAATGAAATACAAGTTTACGTGAATGAATGTTTACATCAAAATTAAAATTCAGAATTTTTATCTGTGTACTACCGAAACGTAGGCGGAATGAATTCTGGTGTTCTTGACTACCACCTAGCTGTATCGGACGTGTACTACGATGTCATCGTTTTTGTCGAGACTTGGCTCGATTCTCGAACGCTTTCCATCCAGGTGTTCGGATCCGAATACGAGGTTTTCCGCTGTGACAGAAATCCGAAAAACAGTCGGAAATCTACTGGAGGTGGTGTTCTCGTGGCAGTTCGTTCCGGGTTAAAGGCGAGAGCTATTGAAAACGTCTTGTGGAACTGTGTGGAACAAGTTTGGGTGGCCGTAGAACTGAGCGATCGCACACTGTACCTATGTGCGGTGTATATTGCACCTGACCGGGTTCGTGACAACGAACTTATCGATACCCATTGCCGGTCCGTTTTCACCATAATGGAGAGTGCGACACCAACTGATGAGATAATCGTTCTGGGCGACTTCAATCTACCCGGTGTTTTCTGGAAACCATCTTACAGCGGCTTTCTCTACCCAGACCCTGTACACTCTGTATTTCATACAGGATCAGTTAGCCTTCTCGACTGCTATAGTACAGCAACACTCTCTCAAATAAACCACGTAGTCAACGAAAACAACCGTAGCCTGGACCTCTGCTTCGTTAGCGTTCAGGACACCGCTCCTTTCATCTCCACGGCACCTTCTCCACTAGTAAAGCAAGTACATCATCACCCTCCCTTGGTTGTCACTGTTGCTGACAATCACGATCGGGTCTTTGACGACATTTCCACGACCGTGTCATACGATTTCCGGAAAGCCGATCACCGTAGTATCGTCAACGTGCTATCTAGTTTCTGTGAGTTGTTTTTGATAGCCTTGTTACGCTCAATTTACGGTGTACTAGTCACCTTTCACGTCACTAGAGCCGCTAGTGTCGGGAATAATCGTGGTTCCACACTACTTAGTCGTTATTGATTAACCTCCTTTGCCAATGGACAAAATAATGTGCAAGTTGGGGGTCAAAGGCTGTTACGATTTCCATTTGTTCCCTGCGAAATGGCATCGATCGCGTGTTATTTATTGTTTGGTGAGTTTAGGTTTTGCTCACTCTGAAACATAATTTGGAACTCCGGAAGACATGTTCCGAAAAGTTCTTTCTAAATTAAATGAAAATAAAGCTGGTTCCATTGCGATTCTTTGTGTTTGAGTTCGACCATTAGACTAATATTCAAAATAATTATCAAAACTAAACGAAAATTATAAATTAAGTGCCCATCTTACGTAAAAACCTATCCAAAATAGCTTCTTGTATCCGGGTTTGAAACATCGTTGGTTGCTGCGGCTTGTTCTGGTGTAAGGGGTACCACCGTCAGGAATTTCTCCATCATAAGTTGTGTGCTGTGATATGAAGGGCTCGGTTGTCTCAGACAGCCATTTTTGCTTACCGAGTAGAAAATCTTGGGATCAAACCCAGGTCCCAACATGTTTAAAAAAAAATCATAGCTCACCGTGTTTTGTGAAAATTTTCATCGTTTTCATCGGTGCCGGGTTTGAATGGCTACAATAACTCGATCAAGGCCTGATAGCAGCCTTTTTGCTTACTGAATAGAAAATCATCGGATTAATCTCATGCCCCTGCACATTCAAGATTTGTTAGTAGTTTATAGGTTTATGATTTATATGATCCCTCAATTTATGTTGAGCAGTTGGTGGCCATCATTGAAATAAATATATTTCTACATTTGGACAAACAATTCCCCAAAGAGAAATTTTGGTTTTTATCACAGCCTTGTCCATGATTAAGACTTATGCTTGATAAAACTTGCAATAATACTTGTCCTCAATTTTGAACAATAAACTAAAATAAAATTTCAAAATAACTACAGTAGAAGTTGCCTAATTGAAAGACTTTTTCAGGTTTCAGATAACGGACATTTAT